TGGGAGCAAATGACTTCAGTCAGTGTTCATATTGTGTCTTACCTCTAACAGTTGAGAATTCTGGTTCATACCGCCGATTCAAAATGAATCAATTCTTATCTTAAAACATTTATGTTTATATTCCAATATATCTCTTTATATACCCATGAGGATGTGCTGGCAATGTGAGTGTTTAGTTCATTGTGCCTAACAGGCAGCATGGCTGTATGCTCACTAAGGAGTTGAAAAAGTATCGGAATATGATAGTGTCCTATGACGGGGGATAGTAGCGCCGTGAGCAGGCAATGTGCCTGGATATGAGTGCCATATAAGCGGAATATTACGATTACTATTATAGTTTATATATTATTTTTCTGTTAATTTAAATCACATTGAAAGGATGGAGTTGATGAGGAGGGTGATTAACAAAAGACATCATGATTCATAATCAGTGTTATTTGTATACACTCAAGTTAAGTTTAACTTTGCTCTGAACAATATTCCAGTTACATCACAGCATGTCAACTTAACGTAGGAGGAAAACCCAAAGTAATGAAAGTGTTCCTGAAAACCAAATTGCCAAGCATGAGGTCACCTCAAACTTCACAGTAAGAAAAGAGCAACATTTTAGTACAGTCTAGGATCAAACAAGGGGAGGAACTGGAAACAGCAATATTCTTAGCACCAACAGAGAAACATCACTTCCAAATTAGACAACCACACATTCTTCTCTCAGCTGAACTGCTAAAAATAACTTGTCAGTCATATCAGAATTTCACGCAAAACCTACTCCAGTTCCTCTTCCACTTCCCCATTATCACAAACATTGCCCACAATACCACACAGTACAGGAAAGATTCCATAAATATCCAGTCAAATTTTCTCCCTTCAGATGCACATACAGAGTTACCATGTTGTTTTTTCAAAGGAGCTGAACCCTTTTAACCTCAAGAGAGTTTATCAGTGAGAGTTGTGGTAATGACCGAACCATCTGTGGCCTCAACACTAAATTTGTGGTTAGGACACAGCTCAGCATAACAATTTTATTAACATGCACAGCACATGGGGGAAGGGGAGGGGTTAATCAACCTTAAACCACATGGTGTTTTAAAATAGCTACATCTTCAATAACAACACTATATATGTTCCCACTCATTTTCATAACCTATAACACCAGCACAAACACTACTCAAATAAGCACTAGTATGCAAATACTGCAGACATATTCCATTTATGAGAGATTCTTTATTTCATCAGTGGTAAAGATATGCTTTGGTCCACACTCCCAGAGCTAACAATGTTGCACTGTATGAACAGAGCTTTTTGTGTTGTTTCCATGGTAACTGTGAAATAACGAGTCAGGCACCAAGTACACCTTGACCCAGATATTGTTTCCAAAATGTTCTCTTTCAAACCAAAAAGAACTTCAATTTCTATAAAAAGAACTGTGCAAATAAATGTGAAAGAAATCAGTTTCTACATAAGATTTACATGCAAATGTTAACTTCAGCTAACTTGAAATGAAAAGCAGTTGAAACTGTTAGTGAGCACAAAGATTTTGCTGAATACTTTTTACACTCCCCACAACTCTCAATTAATCCACTCCCCACAACTCTCAATTAATCAATCTACTGCAATCTTTACAAGGTTTTATGAAGCTTTCCTTTACATCAAACGTAAAATAATTTCAGATGCATTAAACAGCTTCATGACATCATGGATGTAATGTTTTACTTTCATAACAACAAAAGAAACTTGATACAGAAAACACATCATCTTAATGTGCATCATCTACATTTTCTGAAACAAATACTCACAGATATGTCTAGGTTAGAAATATTTCATTTTCTCATTGTTTACTTGTAAACCCCAAATATGCCACCATGGCGAACATCTAAATTGCTATCTCCCACCAGTCGATAGTGAAGCACCTGTAACAAACATGTCCTTCTTCCTCATGTAACTTACAGCTTAAAACCGGCAAGAGAATATCATGCTGTAACTGGAATGCTAGTTGTTCAATCTTGTGGGGCTCTCTATCAATTATTCCATGCTGTAACTGGAATGCTAGTTGTTCAATCTTGTGGGTCTCTCTATCAATTATTATGATATTACTGCCATATAGCCACAATATTGCTGAGTGTAGCATTGAAGAACAAACAAATTATGATATTACTTCAAATATAATTCTAGGCTTTCTGTACAGATCAGTGTGTGCCCCCAAAATGCATACTCCATTAGCCTATCTTGTACCTGTCCATCTCCTCAGAACAATAAACTCATTACATTGACATATACACTTCCCCTATTCCCAATATTTGTGTTTTTATATTTCAGCTCATCAAAATAAATGGGTTTGACATTTAATGTTATTTATTTGTAAAGAGGAATGAGTGGACCAGTGAGGTTGGTTTAACCCTGCTTTGACTGACTGACTGAGTTTGGTTTTACGCCGCTTTTAGCAATATTCCAGCAACATCACGGTTGGGAACACCAGAAATGGGCTTCACGCATTGTACCCATTGTGGGAATCGAACCCGGGCCTTCGGTGTGACGAGCGAACGATTTAACCACAAGGCTACCCCACCGCCCACTTCACACACTGTACCCAAGTGGGGAATCAAAACCCTGATCTTCAGCGTGACGAGCGGACGCTACCCCTACACCCCTCAAGAGATACAGATTAAGGTCAGTCACAAAACAAGAAACAGATATTTACTGTTTTGGCCTTAGGAGACCAAATTCATAGTTAACAGACTTCGGCCAGAAGCTACAAAAAGCACAATCAGGCTGGTAGATCAGGGTAAGAAAGACATGTTTTGTTTTTTCTCTAATTATCACAAATGACCTACAGGGACACCACCTACCTGACAGTGATAGAGGTAGTTTACACGAGTTAACACCAGTTCTTCATGAATAATATCTGACTAAAACCTTTCCTTAATTTTAAGCCCTGGTGAGTTCTTTCACAAAGCATTACTATGTTAATATTTCCAAGAATATAAGTTAATAGTCAATTTTTTTCAACAGATCTGAGAAAATAGACTGGTTAATGCCTAATTGCTGGACACGGGTTTGAGATGAGCCTTCCTTCTATCTGTACATGGATCTCAACATCAGCTGTTGGTGTATGTAGGAATTTAATGACTTTCAAGTGCTCCTTACATATGGGACTACAATGTTCAGCAAGTCCACTGACATTTACTGTGGAATCTCAAACATTTCGCATATTTTGTCTCCCCATAAATAATGATAACAGATAAATTATTCATCAATCTGCCAATATGAAATATTTCAATAATTCCTTTATAACATACTCAATATTACAAAATGAATGAGGATCAAAATAGAATAGTTCTGCAAAATATTTAGCTCATCTGACAAGAGACCAACTCATTATTCTTCTCATGGTCATATGGATTTCCAAATAGATATCTCTCCTTGTCACAGTCTCAGACTGATGGACATGTCAGGGTTCAATGCTGTCAACCTGTACATTGAGCCTGACCACCGATCTATGGTATTGCCGCTAACAACCAGTATAGGACAAAGGCGAAGTTGAATCAGTGGTCGAGGTTAATTGGCAGGACATCCTAATTTGACAATGTGTATAAACCCATACAGAAATGTGTACAAACTGCCATACTGACTGACATGAAATACATACAAATGACACTTACAGTAGTCTAATCTACATCAGATCTAAGAAGCCTTTGTCCTCAACAAATGACAACAGTGTAAAAACGTTAGCATGTTTATGATATACTTGCAACCTGATTTGATGGGGACTGACAATTACCCACCAATTCAAAGCCATAATTTCTGTCTGGTCATGATATTCAGCCCATAATAGTCCATATAACACTGAACTCTACTGAAAATGATGCACATATGCAGAGGCATATTCTGGCAAAGCAAAGCTGACGCTGGATTATCAGGATAATGTTAGATTTTAGCAAATCACTTAAGGCTTGTTGAATTTAACTGATTCATCTCTATGTACAGGAACACATTATCCAAGTGTTTAGAATAAAGGACCAGTGTATATGTAGTAATTGATTGGCATTTAGAGACTGGTTCACATGAAACATTATACAGGCAACAACTTTACCACATCGTATTTACCTGAGGAGGGGCAAATAGTATTGAAGCAACATAATGACACACAATAACGAAGTTGTTATCTATAAAAGGTTAAAATGTCTTCATAATTCATAATTACCATGCAATATGAAGTGTGGCCTGACATCTCATATAACATTCAAAGCATCCACACTCAACTGTATCCAAAGGCTAATCATGTTCCCAGTATCAATATCAAAGGTTACATTTAATTACAGCATGGGGCACTACACAAGGTTCACTGGAGAAGGCCAGCTGACCTAGAATCCAACAGTGTTGTTTTTATCATTTGTCCTTGTCTCTTTGTAGTCATACTTTTTTTTGCAGTCACATATACCTTTGAACAGGAACAGAGACATCAAAGTAGTATGTTCTATAACTGTGTGTTCATATTGCTGTACCATGGTATCAATGTAAACAAACATCAACATCCCTTTCAAACAGTCAAACTTGACTGCAACCGAAAAGAGGTAAACTTAAAGATAAATGGATTTATTCCATAGCCCCCAAAAGACACTAAAAAGTACAGCATATTTAATGTGAAACTTTTACTTTTATGATCCATGTTATAAAGTTTGTATTTAAGTCACATGCAGTTAAAATTTGATCACAGATAAATAAATTGTATTTAAATTGTCGTTGAGGTCTTGTTTGAAGTTCTGTCAATAGGAGTGGGAGGCATGAATACTGAAGTGTGGAATTAGCTTGCTGTTATCAGCACTTCCACATGAAGTGGCAGTTATATCACTCAGGCTTGGATATAAAGCTCATATTCTCCCATGCAATAGTGTTATGCTGGAGGAGGTCAGAGGGCGGGGCAGTTGTCAGAGAGGAGGGGTGTGGTGGGCACAACATACAATGTTAACCACTCTTAAAACTGATTATTGATAAGCCCATACCGAATGTAGATATCTGGATGGATCTAGCAGACCATGTACACCATACTGTAACAAACAGTTGTTTACAAATAACATCATGCACTTCTTGTAACTAGAGCCCATATCTGGCGCTCAATATTAAAGGTTGTGATTTCTATCAGCGGGAAATGTAACTGAAATAAACATATGAGTGTTTTTCATCACTACACCTATATTTGCTCAGCACAAACATGCTACTCAATCCTATATTTACACTGATTCTGAATGAATATTTTAATCCGTACTACTCAGTTGTAAGGGGAGGTTACTTACACAATGAATGTAGTATTCACATGCAGTACTGTCGTGAATGATGTATGAATGATAATATAATAGCAATTATATACTTACATGTCAACATACCAACATTCTGACTGACAACAAAGCATAGCACTAACATCTGTCACACATGCTTATAGATGAAATGTAATCAATGGACATAACAACAAATTCACATTATACACATGTAGTCCACTGACCCCAGCTGAGCCCACCCCTGAGCTATAACTTGTGGCCCCTGCTAATCCAGGCAAGGAACTTGTTGATCCTGAGCGTGAACTGTATCCTGAACCAAGTCCTGAACTGGATCCGAGAGCTGAACTGGATCCGAGAGCTGAACTGGACCCAAGAGCTGAACTGGACCCAAGGCCTGACAACAAACCTGAACTAGATCCAAGTCCGGAGCTAAAGGGACTGCTGTAGGAGCTCCCATAGGAACCTCCATAGAGTCCACTGGAATAGCCAGGTGAGGAGGTGGATGAGTAACTAGGGGTGAAAGGTGTACTTGAGAAATTGGACAATCCACTCAAACTGCTGCTGGGCAGTCCACCCAGGCCATACCGGTAGGATCCATACGACATGGTGCTGCTGGGAAAGTTTCACCAAAGTGAGGAAAACTTCGAAAACAAGGAATTGAAGTGAGTAACTCCTGTTTGGAAACACAATTCTAGCCGATGTGTGGCAGATACCCATAACCTTGAACACTGGCAGTAATCCACAGTTCCTCATCAACATGGTGAGAAATCTTCTCTGACAGAAGTGTTGAAGTTTAGAAATTTGGAGTACCCCGGTCTGAGAGAGCAGACATGAAAAGTCAGTTATGGCTGCTGGTAATGGCTACTACAGCTAGCAGACGTCACTGAGACAGTGTGGCAGAACATCAGAGGGAGGGAATCCGACAGATAGCACCAACCTACACTGATGAAAGGGAAACCAGTGGGGGGAACACAGAATGGCAACCTCCAGAAGTCATCATCAAAACTCTCAGCAAAGGGAAACTTTGCGGCTATCCCACTACCATTCAGAGGTATATGAGAACTTGTACACTCAACCCTTTCTCAATTGCTAACTCCAGCTCTGACCAAGAAATGTGACTGAAATCCAATCTGTACAGCTCAACTGATCACAGATTATCTTTCCACGTCAGTACACAGGGTAGACAGAAAATCCCACTATAAATATCTTCTTCCTGGCTAGGAGGCCACCCTACACCCCCACAAAAGTGGACAGGCCCAGATAATTGATACGCTGCAGCCTTAGCTGAACCAAACAGAGCAGGCAGCCGAGGGGAGATATTGGAAGCAGACATGTGCCTTTCCTTTATCTTCCTCTACCTATGTTCAATATGTCTGCTGGGTCAAGCCAGTAACAAGGTCAAATACATCTGACATGGGGCAAGCACTTGAAGGAAATTGCTGTTTGAAACCCAATCAAGCAACCTTATGTATGTTCTGATAAATAATGTTTGGTGAACTCTACACTTGAGTTATGAGTGGCAGGAGCCATAGAAGCTTACAAGTCTACAGCTTAACCTAATCTTCCTCATTATACCACCATAGGTAAAAACAATCACCCCATTATAACACTCATCAGCTATTACACTTCAGTCACAACTTTCACATTTACAAATAATTTGTACAGAATACTTAGTAAACATGAGAACATGATTTGCTTGATGTTGGCAGCTTTATTTCGAAGGGTAGAATCGAGTCTATCAAAATGTCAACAAGGGTAGAAGCAGGTCTATCAAAATGTCAACAACGGATCCACGGTTGGTGTGGCCTATCCTTTCACCAGCAAGAGATCACTTTCATTACTCCCAGTATGGAGCAGATCAATCAAATTGAGTCCACACAATACCGATCTGTTTCCTATCATGTATGTACAGGAATCTATTTGACTTAAACCCAAGTTGACATCGGTGATCCGTGACAAATGTTTAGTCTCTGAACAGGTGGGTTTGGCAATACATTAACTCTCGTGGTGGGACGAATAGATTCAGCAAATTGCTTCAGTTATTTTCAGAATAATGCATTACAAGTGGCACAGTCAATCACATTCCTGAACATTCCATACAAGACATTGTAATATTTTAAGAATGAGACGCACATGAAATATATTATTTAACAGAAGAAATATGAAATGTAATCAGGACACTTATCTTGACACCAAATAAAATAGACATGTGAGATTTACATAAGTATTATTTAACTGAAATTTACCTGCAAAATACCTGTTGAACATTCAATGTAATATATATTTATTATTAACAATGTAACCTTCCACTTTATAAGACACACATGTTCTCCCTCCAGTAGATGACGTTTTGAGTGAGCCGACTGGCATTTCCCCTCCCACTACTGCTACACACTATAGGATGGAGATGTGTTACACATGTCATATCAAACACAATCCTGACAACATATACCTCAGGAAACAGCCCATCACAAACAGCTGGCAAGTGAGACAACATTTTTTCCATTATGCAACCCTCATGTTATGAGAGACTAAAGCTTCATATCAGACATTATCTACTTATCAGTAACAGCAGAAAGGAGGGCTGGACAGTGAACAAAAACAGGTGAATATCACTGGAGTGTTTGATGCTTAACTTGTCAGCTATAACACTGTGGACTATGAACAATCGAGTCCTGACCAGACAAGCCAGTGTTCGATATTATGAGTGACATCAAGGTCAAAATGCTTACATGTTGAAATTTATCTTGCAGAAAATGTTTTGAGACACTCCCCCTTCCCCTTCTCCTCTCCATCTCTCCCTCCTCCACAGCATCAGTGTCTGAGGGTAGTGAGCTCATCTGTATGTTCCGTGTTTGCTTCAAGTCAAGGGTTTACATACACTACAACTGGCGAGCCCCACCTGAATTATAACATGTACAATACCTGGCCATACTGCTGACTGACATTATCTCAAGCTGGGGTAGTCAAGTGCTTGTTCTAACTAGGAAAATCGTTGAATTGGAACACCTGCTGTGGCAGATTTAAAATGGTGCAACATATTTTCTGCATAAACATACACTGTTAACCTCTTGTGTTGGTATCTGGACAATATCATGTGCAGTATTGCTTGCAGAACCCACAATTATACAAACAATGCTGACAAAACATTTCCTTGAACATGCTCAACAAAATTATTTACTTATAACTAAATTTAGAATCTTGTATATAATTTTTGTAGGGAGCAGGAATGATTTACTTCAATCATCAACATGGATATAACATAGTAGATTCCAGCCATTTGTTCCCCAAGAGGTCCTCCTTCACTTTCTATTGGAAACTGCAGGAACCATCCTGGAATAAGTGAGCTTGGTTCGACACAGTGCAGTTCCATAACCTGACTGCAGTTTGAGTGATCCATGTGATTTAATGATAGGGGGGTAGAAAATTACCTTTTGATCACCCAGTCCCCAAAATAGTCACATAGCACCCCAATCCCCATAAAAGTCACAAAACCACCCTATCCCAAAAAGTCACAAAGCCCTTTCAATTCCATAAATAGTCGCAAAGCCATCCAATTCCCATAGCAGCCAATACCTGTTATAGTCATAACTACCCAATCCCCAAACAGTTGTCCTATACAAGCAGGGGTAAAGGGTATGCATATAAACAGCCTGGATGAGAGATCCTCCTCTTCCCAGTAACTTGACACTGAAACTGTAATCCTATAAGCAGGCCTGGACTTAGTCTCTCTTACGGACCCCAGTAAACTGTCCATAGACTAACGCTTAGTCTCTGAATATATATAGTTTTGATAGCAACAAATAATCCTGTTTAATTTGAAAAGGAGCCCCAGTGAGATGGGAGATTCAGAACCTGGAAGTCTAGACTTCATGTAAGACTTTATCAATGCAAACAGGGCTAGCAGTGTTCACGAATAGAGTCTGACCCTCGGACAAATCCGGCAGATTCGCCAACGGTCCGATGGAAGTCTACAACCCCAGCCCCAGTGACTGACTGTATATTTCACAATGACTTTGATTGAGGTTGTTATATGTGACAAGTGACACTTGTTTGCTGTTTATAAATTTTACGTTTATCAATAATTTCAATGCCAATAATAAGAACTGTTAAATCTGAAATCTGTGTTAAATTTTTATTCTCCGGGTCCTGTGAATTTTCAATGGGTCAGACAGACATCTGAAACTTACAGGACCCAATGTCCTGTTACTTTGAAACACCATTCGTGAACACTGGGCAAGACAGTAGGGAAAATAATGCGGTTGAAAGACGGACTATACTATACATTCTCATCCTCTCTTCAGATCTAGGAAATGAAACTTGTAGCTCCTTATTGTAATTATTGTCAGTTAACCTCATACAGAACTGCTTTACAGGGACCATATGTTAGTTTATACAGTGTCACACAGCAACAACACTTCAGTACAAAATATATATTACCAGAAACGATAAGAGTCATGTTCACTTTCCCACATTGGCCTGTATATTTATTACTCAACAACCCTGGGAACAGGACACAACTGCAGCATGTTACAACACAAGCTGACTCCCACACATGGATTGGTCACACGCATTACACACACACTATCGGCAGCTCAAAGCTAATCAAGTACAGCACACCTACAACATGACATCCATATCTCACATGTACAGAGACCCTACTCAACATACACTGTTGTTCGGGCGACCATACTAACAGTTATGAAGATCTGAGCTCACAAAACAATGTAACTGAAGACCCATAATCATTTTTCTTTTATCCTGACATGTTT